AAAGAGTAACAGAAATCTAAAAATTAGAAATGTATGACTCTAAAAATTGCTACATTTTATGAAGTGATGGGAGGACAAGTATAACACCTAAAATTGCTTTAAATTAATTTTCTAAACCAGTTAACATTAGATTTAAATATGACAAAGTTCCTTTAAAGTAGTACTAAGTACTTTTAAGGGTAGCTATATGTAATGTTTTAAGCTTTAATTTATGATGAGAAATTGCTTATAATAAAACAAAAAGAGAAAGCTTATAACATGCTTTTACATATTCTGCTACATGCATTGTATTCAAGTGATGTTTGTCATTTGTTTGTTAAAATATAAAAACTGTCAAATGGGGAACCCTAGAATATAAAGTTCATTTATATACTGGAAAGATGTGGTGATAGAACTTTCTTTTCTGGGTAGATCCTCAGTCGCTATCAGTCCCATTTGCAATACGTGATTCATCTCATCTAAATTTAGTGATCTAGAAGTTAAAGATCTAATCTAAAGTTAGAGAAACTGGGAGAAAGCATTGCGCTTTTTCTTTTTTTTTTTTTCCCCCTTCTTTCCCAATATGTTGAAATTAAGATTAGATTATTAGGAATTAGATTAGGTTGTTAAGATTAGATACTTCTGATGTCTAAATTTAGGTGGCATGCTTCCCATATTAAGGAGAAAACGTTCAGGTAAATTCTGAAACACTGATTTGAGACACATAGCCGTGAGGTCTACTCAGTAATAATGTTCATTAGTTTCAAGTGGAGTAGACCTAAGAGCATATAAGATTAGAAAGAAGCTAACACCAAGTTCACATTATTCCTCTACCAGCACTCTCTGAAATAACGTTTAGTAACCTGTAGAAGTCACATCTGTCTGCTCCTAAGTGTTGTAGCACTTTGCATTTTTACCATTTTATTACCATTTTGCTTAATGGTTTAGAATTTATGAAGACCTGGAAATTCATCTTAAAATAAATTTTAAAAAATTATGCTGATCTTCATGCAAAACAGTAGGAACATGATTGATTGTTATAGGTGAACTATATGCTACTGTGAATACAGAGAAAAAGAATCTGTTATTGATTTTCATACTTGTTCCTAGGGAAGTTTCATCCACAGATGCCAGATGTTTTACAGCCAAATTTTGCTTTACCAAATAATTTAATTGAATTTTTCTGCTTTCTTTTTTGGGAGGAAAGTGAGAACAGACCAAAGCTGTATCTCCTCTAGTATTTTAAAGTATCCAAGTTGCTATTAGAGTCACCAAAACACTTATTTCCATATGCTAAAAGCCTCAGAGTTACAATTTAGTCAAATTCTTCATATATCTATGCTGCCATTCCTGTGCATTCACCAAGAACTAGGATTTTGCTCTGAAATATATAATCAAAATAATGTGTATTCCCCTTCATTTATTCCTATGTATAGATTCTTTTTTTTTTCTTTTTTTTTCTTGAACTACATAGGCTATATACTGGTTTTAATGAACTAGAATGTTGGGAAAAACTTCAAATATCATTCTAACTGTAAAATTTTCACAGCCTCTTACGTCAGCAGGATAAAGTAACGAAATCAAAAGAAAACAAAAAAATACACCTTTTCATATTAAGCACACAGTTGACATTCTTCTTAATTTCAAATATTACTGTCCCATAGTCCTTTTCACTTTTTAATAGAAATATTAAGATATTGGTGGCCTAGTGTATGTAAACTCAAAGCTGAATTTAGGAATGCATCTGGGTCTGTTAATTTTAAGATTTTTTTTTTTTTTAATTGAGACATGAATCTGAATGGCTCTGGCTTTGAGACTCTGGGTTCCCTGTCTTAGCATGTTGGAAAATAAATATGCTTAACTCACCACTGAGATTACAAAGAGGTTTCCATCATACTGTAGTAACAGTGGGGAAAAAAATAAATTATTTAATACCTTTTAATTATAGTAAAATTCTTGTCAATGCTATTTCTGTAAAACTTGAATGCTATTTGACAGTCTTTTCTAAAAGCTGGATATTAAATGTAATAATGTGCTTATTTTTAGAGCATCCAGTAGAATAATGATGGGTGAAATCTTTTCAATTTTTTTTGTTTGTACATGATTTAAGAATAAAGAATGTGTTGTTTTCCTTTGATATTATAGGTAAGCACACTAGACTGGGTACGAGCTGAAAAAATCTATAACCTCTGTGAGGTTCTATTTAAAATTCACAAGGTAGGTTTCCTAACAATTACGATGATATTATTTAGTAAAGAAAAGTTGCCTTTTCTTGTTATTGATAAGCTCAAGTTAATCTTACCTAGGAGTAGCTAACATTCCAATAGTTCATCTGTTGTTTAAAAACCCGATTTGTAACGGCTAGTGCATTAGCTATGCAAGTATAAGAGCATATGGAAAACAGATTAGGCTCCAAGTGAGCGAGTTACTAAAATGCTTCCATACTGAAGAAATTTTTCAGTATTAGAGCTGGTCATGTGAAATAGAGGTGAGACACACAGCTGAGCATAATGAAGCCAGATACTGCTTTTTTCTTAGTGGCTCAGATTTTTAAGTGAATGTGATGAAGAATGCTTTTGCTGTAATTCTTGATCTATATAAAGATAATTTTCTTTAATTTCAGTAATTAGAAGTATAAAATTATGTCCTTTTTAGATCATGTATAATTTGCAAACAATATAGTAGGTTTTAGCTTATAAAGGGCAACATGGTGCATTTGTGTACAATAGAATTCTTCATTTTTTCCACCGCCTAGAGACAGTGTCATGTTTTCTGTTTAGGTTGTCCCAAGCAAAACCTTAGCAATCCGTTTAAATAATTGACTTACAGAAGATATTTTCTAATACAATACATCAGATATAGATTAGTTCTCTACCAGGTAATCAAAAACTGCTTTGCAAGTGAGGTAAGGCTAGATGAGAGCCTACTTTCCTAAGAGAGTAAACACAAACATAATATTAGGAAAAAAAAAAAAAAAGAAAAAAAACCCAGTCTTTTCAGATAAAATGCTGTTTCACTAAAAAATTCCAAATTAGCTTTACTTCTTACCACCTGCTGTCCTTCTCTCTGCTGTTCCTCCCTTGACCATGTACATGGTTGTGGAGAAGGAAGGTTGTTGCTTTGTTACCTGTACAGATCTTGACTTAACATTGCGCCTGAGGAGAACTGCTTAAATTTCATTACTTAAGTGAATGCTACTTATGGATGTTTTCTATGATGCAACACAGTTATTCATGACAATTTACAGAAGGAAAACTGAAACGAAAAAAGAAAAGAAAAAAACATAGAGTGGACAAAAACACCTCATTCCCCTTTACTGCCCTTTTCAGCATAGAGGGGAATTCTCCGTAGCTCTAAATGACCAAAGTTTTCAAATAACGGGATAGCAGGGAGTTTCCATGTCCTGACTGCTCAAGCTACTTGTCCCAATCTGACTTTCAACAGCATGGGCATGTTTTGTACACCAATTTTGTTGACTGTGATTTAAACAACAACAACAACAGATAAATTGAAAACATGATGAAGTTACAATCAACAGAGCAAGGAGCACACAGAACTTGACAGAAATCTAGAAAAAATAGCTCTCATACATGAGCTGACTGCATTTTACAGAAGTGTCAGTCCCATTAAGTGGTTGCTAAAAGAGCTTCTGCTGATGTCAGCCATCAGTTTTGCAGCCCATCACTGCCTGTTTTTTCTGCTACAAGCCTGCTGTCGCTGGGCAGGGGAGGAAGGCTCCCTTCTCTGGCAGAAGTGGGGAGAGGGAAGGGTCTTGGGCAGTGCCATGCCAGGAGAATAGCAGTCCTGGAGTTCAGGACTTGTGCTCAGCTCCAGAGCGTAGGCTGCAGGGTCACAGCTGTATTTTTGTGGGCATAGCATTATTTTAATGTGACCATGTCTCCAGGTGGGTACAGGTGGGCAACTTCAGGTCCTGCCCATCATTGAGACAGCAGTAAAGAACAGAGGCTCTGTCCCAGTTTATTTGTTCTGTCTCCTTAATATTTTTTCAAATTTACTTTTTCCTGATAAATAAGGCAGCAATTAAGTATATACTAATTGTGCCTTTTGAAAAGTTTTTTGTTACAGTTTGGATTTTGTTTTTTTCCTCCTTGAAATGTTACTACTGATTTGAGACTCAGTCCTTCCTTGAATATTCTGGTAATTTCAAGGACAATCTATCCTTAAAGCAAATTCTGTGATACTTTTTCATTAAGAAAAAGAAGTGGGAAATAAACTACCCAAGATACAACTCTTTAATGTTCTTGACATTTTAGTAAATGAATGCTTAATTGCCAGTCTTCATGAATACATTAGCTAAAGTGCAAAAGCTCAAATTCAACACTTTAACCTCTTTTCTGTTGATTCTTTGGTATAAATGACAATGAGGCAAACTGAGCAAATCCAAAAAGATATAAAACAAAATCTTAAGAGATTAAGGTTGCTACATTGCAGACTGAGAGATGGAGTTTATGTTATAAAAACGGCCATTTGGGGAGGGTGTTCGTCAGGACTTTCAGAAGCTGGTTAGAACTAGTGCAGAGCTGTGGTGGAGAGTCCTATTGTATCTTCTCACAAAAGATGGATTTTAAGGCAAGGTGCATTTGTTACTCACCTAATTGTAAGTTTCTCATCTATGTTTATTATGACACAAGATTTAAACGTGGAAAATAAGAATCCAATATGGAAATGGCATTTTAAAACAAAATGTTTGCTATATTTTAGATTTGTGTCTGTGTAGACATAAATATAAATACACACTTACATACACAAACATGCATATGCAAATATGTGAATTAAAATTCCTCTATATATCACATGCTTGCATATTCATGGACATTTAGAGGTAACAACCAGATGATTGAAAATGTAATCTCTTTTATCTCTTGGGTTTCTTCCTATACCTTGCCTTCTACTCCATGTTTACTGGAACTGTTACTGAAAACCCTTATGATTCAGGGGCAAGATTATTAGATGCATTTTTAAACGGCAGCTGTCTTAAAAACATTTTATTTTCTTTTATTGCCTGGTATTTTCACACATCGCATTTTCACATACAAAGTAAAAAAATATTGAGTAGTCGATGAGCCAGGATGAGCAGTATTGATTCTTGAAGCAGATATAGGTGTAATACCTGTCACTCCATGGCTGCTGGACACCAGATGATAAGCAGATATTTTGTTCAGCTTCCTTTTCACCAGTCCAAAGGAGTGTCGTAAAGTAACTTTGAACTTTCTCAAGACTGTTCTCTCCTCAGGTAGCTGCAGGGCTGTTTTTGACAACAAAGTGCTGCATACCCTGGTGGCATTATGTGCTGCTTCTGAGGTGCCCCACAAAACATCTGTAGCTTAACAGACTAGACTGGAGTAGATTGCATAAGGTTACATTTGCCAGCTTTATGTTATTCAGTAAATCATCAGCACAAGCAAAATTTTCCTTTCCCATCTGAGTATTTTGATCCTGTTTGTGAATATGAGAGCAGTACACAGAGGAGAGTGTGCTAGCGGAGCATTTGTTTGCTCTGCTTTTCATTACTAAAAAGTGGATCTTCACTGCTGCCCTGTGAGGGTGGTGGTGTGTGCATCTAAAACAGGAGGGGCACAAGGCCCTGAACATTTAAGCATATATATGACATGTATCAGAATATTTTACATTATATTGGATGCTCAAATTCCAGTTGTTTGTTTTCATCTGCATGGAGTTTCAATTATTGCCTCAACAGGCTATGATAGACTCTTAGAGGAAAAATAAAATCTAAATTTTTATAAGGCTTATCCTGTCTACAAGATTCTAGGACTTGGGTACCACTGCAAAGCTGCATTCCAGTCTTTTCAAAGCCACCAAAGTCCAGTCAAACATGACTGCTTTTACCTCAGATCTGCTTGACTAGATTCAAGTCTCCTAAACCTAACCTGGAGTACTAGAGAAAGAAGATTCTGTTTGTGGGTGACTTTAGAAAATAAGGAATAACATTCTCTTTGCAAATTTCTTTTTTGTTCTTTTAATCTTTTCTGCCCCATGCCATCATAGAGAAGTGGAGATAGGAAAGGCCCCTATCTAATAAATAGAAATTTAAAAAAAAAAATGTAATTTGGAAATTCAGTCAGAGTAGTCAAAAAAAAACCTACTCAAGAGGTATAAGTAGTAGCTTTTTAATTTAGTTTCCTTTTTCTCTATGCTAATGAATGAAGTCTTGAAAGATTAGAGAAGTTTCTTGTAAGAATTTGTTTTCATTTACAAAACATTCTGTTACAGGGATACTTTTTATTATAAAAGACTAATGCCGTTTCTCCTCTTCTTCATCTTGAAGGAGATGGCAGGATGTCACTTCACTCCCCTTGTAGTTGCAGAGCAGCATTGGCAGCTATTAGGGGACATTTGAAAGCTCATGTTGTCATTTCCAGAAATAGCCCTTGGGTGCTTGATAAATTAACTGCATTCCTTGGTGTTTAGCATATTGGAACCCAATTAGAACGGAGTGTTATGGTACCCAGCTCTTGAATTGTGTTCCAACAATTCAGGGTTTTCCTTCCTTTTCACTGTAAACAATATATTGCTACAAACTCCTTTTAAATTATGTATGTATTGCTTAGGTAACTTTGACAGCATTTTGGAACTGCAGAAGTAGCTCGGATTACATGATACAGGGTGAAGTGAATAAGAAGCAAAGAGAGAAGTTGTCTTTGAAATTATTACTTAATTCTCAGAACATTTCTTCAAGGTAATTATTAACATAATGACATAACGTATCCAAGTACCCATCACTTACAGAGGACAATGTTGCTTTAACTGTTTGTTTTTGCTAGATGAAGAATCACATACTGAAACATGTCTTTCAGCTCTGGCTTGCTGATGATTGCTGGCTACAAGCAAACTTGTATTTAGGTATTCATCAGGACTTTGATCTAGAAGACCAGAGGCCGTATTGTTTCAGTGTTATGGTTGGACATGGCAAGAGTCATTATTTCAATGTAGAGCTGGGCAGCGAGTTGGTGGTGTGGGAGAAATCATTTCAAAGAGCGATTTTCTTGGAAGTTCAAAGAACAGGGGTAAGTAATGAATAATTTAAATCTTGGAGCCATTTCATCAGTGAAATAAGTGTAACAAACATTTAGATAATTTCTGTTTAATAATTGCATCAGATTGATGTGCTCCATGACTACATGAGTACATTTTAATACACTGAAAGCTTCATCATCACATCAATATTTGTATGTCAATGACTACGTAATAACAGTCTGTGAGCATGTTATGACAGTTTGAAAAATTGAAAAAGTAGTAATATCTAAGTTGACCTTGATGATAACAAACTGGAAATGAATACATTTTACCACTGGAAAACAATTTCTGTGGTGATTATTTAGTCCGCATTAAACACTTTCTTCCAGAAAGCTTATTTTCCACTCACGTAAGATAAATAAGTTATGTTTTACATAATGGTTCTGTTTTCAAAGAAGAAATATTTTGCTCTACATTGTTAATTGTAAACTGGGATTGTCCTTGTTAACATTGGAAGAGTTTGAAGACTTAGCATAAAAGTGAGTGGAAAGTTTGTGATAGCCTTAAATTCTCAAAATTAAGCAGATTATCACTTTCTACTGGCTAGTAAAATTGTCTCAAGACAATTGTTTTCGCAGATCTGAAGGTGCACTTCCCATTAAGTTGTCTAAATGTGGATGTCTGTTAACATTGTGGTGACTAAGCTCCCATTAGAATCAGTGAGTGGAGTCCAAAGAATGATTGTGCTTATCCTAAAGCTGATGATACTTTATTCTAAAGGAGATATTTTGTGGTACGAAGAGAGAAGAAAAACTGATTTTGATTTAAGTTGGTACTTAAAGCACCTCTGTACTGTTATACAAACAAGTTATTTGCTGACCATCTAGACCCATACTCCCAAGTGACCTGGACCAGTGGTATGGGAATGGATGGATTAAAAGTATAGGCCTTCTCCAACTAAAAACATATTTATACAGTTTAGCACAAATGCAAGCTTGATCTGGTATGTTTGGGTTTGCAGGGACCTCCTAAAGATGTTTGCAATAGCAAGAGCACTGGATCACAGCATTGCATTAGCACCACTTGCAAGGAGCAGGAGTCCTAGCACAGGTGTTGAATCAGCTCTTCTAAAATTCCAGATCTCTGGGATTCTAAGGAGGTTTGCAAGTGTTTGCTTAGAACCTTTCTAATTGTCTCTTCAGACTGATGGAGTAACAAAAAAGATTCTGTAATGGTGATGCTGGTGCTCCTGCACTTCTGAGAAAGAATGCAGTTCTTCAGAAAAAAAATTATTCTTCCTGAAAAATTGCTGGGCATCAGGGAGGGATTAATAATGCATACTGAGTATGCATAAAGGATTTTCTCACATGAACTCTTCAATAAATTATTATATGACTGTATGACCAACCATTCAATTGTCGTATTTATAATCCATATAAAAAGCAGATTGTAACAAGGGTGGAGATTAGCTGGTCCTGTATCTGGTTCGATTTCTGAAGTATTTTTTGTTAAATCTCAAAACTTGTTGTTCTTTTACATCCTAACAATCTTAAAATTAAGCAATGATTCTTTGGAATTGTGGAATGATCTTTTGTCATTTGAATCCAACAATCTTCTAGACCTATATCGCACAAAATACATTAATATTTCTTCCAGCTGTTGTTTAACCTATTTGATACCTCCAGGAGAGGCATTCAACTAAAATCCTGATTACAGTGCTTACAAGTCCATATGTGTGTTTCCATATCTTAATTTTCTCTCACTCAGTTGCATACATTCAAGTCTGTTGTAAATCGCTATGTCAGTAGGATGCAAAGTGCTGCGGTCGCACTCCAGCAGTGAAAAATCTTTTGACTCCATGATTTTCTTTTTTCCTTCAAAACATAAATGCTGCTTTGAATGCCCTTCTTTTCAGAAGGCAACAGTTTCTCTTCAAGTGCAACTTAACATTACATATATTATTTCAAGCCGTAGAAAAAAACCTGGCACTGCAGTATCCAGAAAATTGAAGGTTGTCACTGGTAGGTTAGATTGTCCATAAAAATTACTTTCTCGGTATTCTTCCCTCTCCTCAAACTATTCTTTCAAAAGGAAATTATCTTGACTCATCTGAGTCTTGGATATGATTGTTACATTGCAGAAATATCTCGATAGGATGATTTGGATCTTTGGGGTCTCCAGTCTTGATCAACAGGAGGATAGAGAAGGATATTGCAATAGTATTTGGTAGTGGAACAGAGTAAAGAGTGACAGTAATACATTTCACTGTCAGCCGCAGGAAAGTTGGACTAACTGTTTTAGTATCTTGAAACTTTGTACTTGTCACATGGATTGTGGAAGACAGAGAAGAGGAATCTGCTTCACAAGATGGAAGAGCTCTCAGGAGACTGAAAAAAACATGCAAGGGGAAAGTCATCTACTGCAGTGTCTCTAAAATACTGGCACTAGGTGCATAGCGAGGAGATGTGGTTACATGCTCTCCTCATTTATCTAGCAATTTGTAAACACAGAATAAAGTTTTCTCTTCGTGCTTCCAGCTGTGATGCAGATGCTGCAAGCTGTTTTGAATCCTCATGCAGCTGAATAATCTAGTTTCATGAAACCATTTACTTTGCTTGGACAAAAAAAAGTTGTTTAATATGAGTTACTGCAAAAATTAAAATAGGTCAGAAGTTGGGCTCAATCATAACAGAATAATCAAGAAGTTTTGCTGCATGGCTATTTTCTGTGCCTAAAGGTAAGTACTTCTAGTGAACTTCTTTCCATTTTGTTCTGTAACTCAATGACTGATCTTGACAGACAAATAAACTCTGGAAATAAAAGTATAATATATATTTGCTGAGGACAGGGATACGAATACATTGTGCAAAAAGAAATGTTAGCAGTAAAATTCATGTTCCTGAGATGATACAAATTCCTCCTGTGAGGAATATACATTAAAAAATAACAAAAAAATATTTCTTCACGAATGTTGTAATAATATTCCGCTTAAATCCATGTCACGTGAACATTATTGGAAATCCAAAAACAGTTTATAGTGAACATAAATGTACGATGCACTTATCCCTCTTTATATTGCAGTTAACATGAATATGTGTCTGTGGATGTTTTATTTTTTGAATGCATTTTTATTATTTACTTATGTTCCTAAGAGTTAACAACAAACCATTGTCTATAGTGAGATTCTTGATGATGAACATGTATCCCAGATTGGCTCACTGTGGCTCAGAATTGCTTGCTGATTATGGCTGTTCCTGGATAAATGCAAAAATAATTATTGGGAATAATTGTGTATGCAGACCTGGAGCTTTGTTTCTATAGGATTCCCATTTCAATTTTATTTCCACAAATACTGTGCTGCTAAAACAGCGTAATTAAAATCCCTAAAAAAACAATAGTTGAAACAAATGCAATTAATCAATTCCTTTTCTGTTTTGTAAACAACAATGAATTCCTTTTCTATGTTGGTTGGTACAGCCAATCTCTGTTTTCATCTGTGAGCATGATCAATGTTCCACACTTATGAAAGATGACAGACCTGAGAGTAACATATCTTACAGTATCCTTAGGTCACCATCTTCCTGTTCCAGACTTTAACATTTCCTCTATACACTGTATGTTCTTCGGGGTGATCTGTTTGAAATGCCTGAGGAGTCTACAACCATGTTATTGATGATTAAAACAAAACAAAACAAAAAAAATCACGTAATTATTTTGAAGGAAGTGGTTTACACAATGTCCTTTCCTCAGCTTTGTATCTCGTTCCCTTTTTGCGTGATGCAATATCTCTGATAAAGTGTCTGGACCTGGTTACTTTTTCATATCCACTCTTCTATTCATCTTTTTAATTCCCTTGTAATATCTTGTCATAGATTTTACCAGTTCATCAGTTTTAATTAATTTCTAACTCATTCATAATACTCTCATCTGAGAAAGATGAAGTTGCCTTCCCTGAAACATACATTGTTTATTGTACAAATCCTTTCAGAATCCATACTGTTGACAGATTTTGGTTTTCATCTCTTGTTTTTCTAGTAAAGATTTATGGTTTTAAAGTTTCCTTTGTAAAACTTATCCAGGTAACGCTCCCTCTCACCCCTCCTTCGCAGCTCAGGAAATAATCTATGCCATCTCCTCATTCCTACTACCGCTTGCTGTTTGTTCTGGACAGTTCCTTAATATTACATGCGTATTTCTGTTAAAAATGCTCTGAAAGGGTTCACTACAAATCATTGAAAACATACAGAAGTGATTAGGTTGCTTCCAACTGATTTCAGTAACCTTTCCAGGAGAGCAGTATTTTCTCATAATTTCCCTTTAAAAGAGTTCAGTTGACTCTATTGTATAAACTATCAATATAGTAGTCACTGTATGCATATGTACTTCTTCCTAACCTGTCATAAGCAATAATTGGTTTATAACATAAAAAGTAATGCTTATATTTGCTATTTGCTTCTATATCTAAAATCACTTATAACAATGAGAGAAGAAAAAGAAAGAACTGTGCAAAACTGCACTGACATTTTAAAAACTTACATTTTCACCAAATTAAATGGACAAATAGCTCCCATATTTTGAGCAGCTCCAGAAAGAGCCGAAATTAATTTATGTACTTGGGCTTTTGAAGATAACAATAAACTCCTCATGATTTCATGATTAGGAGCCAGCTGGAGAAATTCCTTTACATAAAAATTCAAATGGTTTCTAAAAATTTTTTTTGCTACTGAACATCACTACATATTTTGGCAACATCCCTTTATATATTTTTGAAGTTGAGTTTTCAACAAGCCACTGAGAATGTGAACAGTGATGGGCACTGGTCAGTGCTGTCTATTCCTTGCATTCGCACTGTATAGGGGCCAAGCTGCAAGGAAGTGTGGGAGTGGCCCCATTTCAAACTGGTTTTTAGCGTGAAAGGTGCAAGTCCAATTGAAGATTTTGGATTTAGAGAAAACTGAATAAAACAGTTTGTGATGTTCGGATCCAGGCAGCCTAAAAGAAGTTTAGTTCCTGGGTCCCCTTCCTGTAACATTACACAAAAGGTGTTTTC